GGAAAGGATTGAGCTGGACCTGGAAGCAACCTACAACAAGATAGTGAGGAAGAAACGTGGGGGCTGGTGCATGGAGAACAATAACCTTTTGTCTTGGGTCCTGAAAACTCTTGGCTATGACATCACCCTTCTGGGAGCCAACGTTTACGTCCCGGAGCACGGCACCTACGCAGAGGAAATCGATCATCTGCTGCTGAAAGTGGTGCTTGATGGCAAATCCTACATCGTGGACGGGGGGTTTGGGATGGCCTACCAGATGTGGCAGCCAATGGAGCTGATTTCAGGGACAGATCAGCCGCAGACTCCTGGGGTCTTTCGCTTCCTGGAGGAGGGGGGGACCTGGTACTTCGAGAAGGTGAAAAGGAAGGAGTTGGTTCCCAACCAAGATGCCTCCACTTCCCATAGAGTGGAAGGTGAAGCTTGCCGCCGGATTTACCTCTTTACCCTTCAGCCACGAGACATTGAAGAGTTCAGAGGCTGCAATGCCCTCCTGCAGACAGCGCCCGACTCGCTCTTCACGACCAAGTCCCTGTGCAGCCTGCAGACTGTCGACGGCGTCCGGGCACTGGTGGGGTGGAAACTCACTGAGATGAAGTTCAATTATAGGGACAATATGGACCTTGTGGAAATCAGAATGCTTGCAGATGAAGAAATTGAGAAAACGCTGAAAGAGAAATTCAATGTAACGCTAGACAAGAAACTTGTACCCGTCAATTCAAGCAGGTGGTCTCTGTTCTAACTCACTGCCTGAATTATAATTCAATTCAGGGGCATTACAGGCAATTCTTCCCCCTCTTTCTGACAAGTATCTAAAGGTTAAGCTTTTCCCTTCCATCTACACCAGTGTAAGGCAGAACACACTAACACGAATCTCCAAAAGAAATGGATTTTCACAACTACTCCTACATCTCTTTTTGGTTTGGGTACAAATAATTCCTTCCTAGCTCAATCAAATCACTGTCCTCTGTTTGTGCTTAGCAGGGAGCACACTCTGCCCATTCCCTACTCCTTTCATCTCTTAAAAGCTTCTCTAAACACACCCAGAGTAGCTGGGCAGAGCGATGGAACTGTATGTCTCGCTGCCACCTGGGGAAAATCATATCCACCTCTTAAATGAACACTGTATTACTTTTGGGAATTTAATAGCCAGAAAAACAAAGACATCCTGTGCTGCGTTTGCTCCAACATCCTGTGCTGAGTTTGCTCCACAAGCCTGTCCTTTTTGCTCCTGCATCCACAACACCCTCTCACGTGGCAGTCAGAGGGTACCACACCTGTGCTGCACTGTGAGAGTACTTAAGGACAGGTTATTTATGGCCCTAAAACAGATGATAAGAAATATTAGTGACAGTTCTTTACATGGCTCCTGTTCTCTCGGTGACATAACCAAAAAGCAGTATTTCTTTGAACTGAAAGCAGTTCCTGAGCATTTTGTTTACTACCAGCTAGCAGCAGACTGCTGGGAATCCACGTTCCCCCCATCACTCTGAGTGTTACTGCACAATAATTATTATGGCTGAACCCCAAAACAGGCACTGAATTATTTTTCTGAAACATATCTGTTCTACTGAGGATGTGTTTGCAGTGATACAAATTATATTGATATAAGGAGAAACGATGAATCTTAATCACATACCTAAAGGCTAAGATTTCGAGTAGGAGAAATTACTCAAATGTGATCACTTCGCCCTCTGAGAAGATACTTGATGTTCCTTCATGTACAAATCTTGGAAGCATTACAACTATGCACTTATAATTTAGTAAATTATATAAGTGATTTACAGTTAAATAATAATAAAAAAAAATCAAGCATTGTGTGGTAGAATTATTCAGACGTTTCCCCCCCCTCAAATTACAGTGTGTATTCCCAAAGTAAAAATGTCATTAATCACTGCAGTTGTCCTGATTATTTTTATGTGCTAATATTTTGCAGCTAAGGCTTTTAAAAACACAGTAACTCACCAAACCATTTTTCACTTGGTATGCAGTACATGCAGCTTTCTATAACTAGCAATTTATGGGGAATAAAAGCTGCTGCTATTCTGCATGTTCAAAGTGTACTTCATAGAGACACAGTGAGCTCCCCAAATCCCTGTCTCCCCAGAATCAAACCATATCCTGCTGAAGGTGGTGATCCAGGGAAATTCCTACATAGTAGATGCTGGTTTTGGTGGTGCCTACCAGATGTGGCAGCCACTGAGGCTGATTTCTGGGAAGGATCAACCCCAGGTCCCTGGAATCTTCTGCTTCACAGAAGACAACGGCACCTGGTACTTTGAGAAAGTCAAAAGGAAGCATTACATTCCTGAGCAAAGTGAGACTCCCCACTTCACTGACACTCCAGGAGTGGGGAACATCAGAAAAATATACAGATTCACTCTTGAGCCACGACACATAAATGACTTTCAGGAGTTAAACACGTACCTACAAGTGTCTCCAGATAACATACTTCAGAAGAAGTCAATCTGCAGTCTCCAGACCACGGAAGGGCTCATTGCCTTGGTTGGATGGACCTTGACTGAGGTGAAGTATAACTACACAGAGGACACGGACCTGATGTGCATCACAACTCTTACAGACGAAGAGCTTGAGAAGACACTGAAGGATAAATTCAATATAGTGCTGGAGAACAAACTTGTACCAGTAAATGTTCGTGGCTTGCCACCTAATTTAGTGGATAAGATCTAATTCTAGCACTGTGCTGGATGGATCTGTAAGTATCCAACAGAAAAGTTCTAAAAGTAACATTAATTACATTAATTGATTCTGAAGTTGAACTAGACACAAAGCTTTGTAAACTTAAGTGCCTTGCTAGTTAAATGCATATACCATTTGCATAATTTTTCTTAAGCTTCTCCCTCTTTGGAAACTAAGCCATCTTACCACCTCTGATTTGCTCATATGGAAATTGCTTTTTGACTCCTTACCATTTTGTTCCACCCCTCTGGAACTCATTTTATTGCAGGTATATTTTGTGTCAGAGGAGGCCAAAATGATAAAGAAGGAGAAGTTGTGTTACCATTTTACATAGAAGACTTCTAACCCTTTCTGGTGTTACTTCCAGTCTTCTCAGCAGGGTTTTACAAATTATTCACTTCCTTTAAAAATCTGAAAGTAGAGCTGAATTTGGCTTTCAAAGACTGTCCAGAAAAAAAGAAAGGTTAAGAGTTTCTCAAAACAAGACACCATTACGTGCTGATTAGGTTATGATGAGATAAATTGAAAGACTTCCTATTCCCTTATCAGGAATTGACTTAAAGTGAGCTATTTACACAAAGGCATCTGAACCCCCCCAGAAGCTGTCTAATTTTGAGCATCCCATTTTTTCTGAGTCTGATATCTCTGTGTCTCTAAATTTGAGCATTTTGAATCCAGAGTGTGTAGTGCAACTTGGAAGTCACACCTGTATCCCCCATGAGCACATTGCAGGGAGGAAAGCCAATGAAATCCCAGTAAAGGTAAGTCTGGGGCAGCATTTTGAATCCAGAGCATCTCTTCTTCCTTTCCCCCAGTTGCACCCCAAATTCAGCAGTGGAGTGGCAGCAGTACATTGCCATCACAAACATGTATTATTTCTGTGATGCATGTTAGTGCATTGTAATGAAAATGTGTTTTCCGAAGGCACAGGTGCTTTTTTTCCCTTTGCTGTCACTGTAAGGTTCTCTTACTCTTCACTGAGATAAAATGTTTCCCTCCCACTTACCTCCAAAAAACGAAATATAAATAAAATCGGAGTAATGGGAATGACAGAACTCGTATAATTGTTCCTGCTTTGCATGGTTCCAGGCTGATTGCCTGAATTATGACTGATCCAAATTCCCACTGGAGTCCACGAGAGTCTTTGCACTGAAACAGCAGTTTGGTGTTAGAGGAGCTCTTTGGAGGAGCAGGCTCAAAGCCAGGAGAGTGGAAGCAACATTGCTGTGTGGCTGTGGTGGAATGGGGACAATTAACCCTGCTGAGGATGGGGTTTGGCAGTTTCACTGCTCATAAATGGTGACTGTTGCTGCTTTTAGGCACATGTACAAAGATTTAATTGTTTAGAGCTTATAAATATATATAGAAGAAAAAATATAATTTATATATATTTATAATTTATAATATATAATATAATTATAAATATAATATAAATACAATATATAACATATACAATACATTATATATAATATAAATATATCATATTTTTATATATTTATATTCACATATATTTATATATTTATATATAATATACATAATTTATAGTATATATAGTGTGTATATATATATATAAATAGCGTATATATATATATATATCTCTAGATCACCAAAGGAATTTCAGAAGCTGAGTGGATGCTCATCACCCCCTTTTACTCATACACCTATAACTCTCCTTTGGTCCTTGCACCTTTTCAGTATTAGGGAATATTTCCCTCTGAAAATATCTTGCAACAACATTTTTTTGGTGCAAAAATATGGTGCTCAGGTTGGAATACTCAGCCATTTCTGAGCCTCAGCATTTTCATGGTCTGGCAACACTGCTGGGCATCTCCAGGAGAAGAGGCCCACGAGATGGAAACGAGGAAGGGTACGTTGAGTGTTTGACTATTTCTTATGAAATGGAAGCAAATTCTCCTTCTTCTTAACAGGCAGATGGTTTTAACAAAAGCACTTACTTAAAACGTTCTATTTTTCTTTCAAAACTTATAGGAAATAAAGCCATTCATGCAGAAAAGCAGATTGTTCCCCTTGTAATGGAATTTAACTGAATTACGACCATTTCCATGCACGAGATTTATGCTGAAACCCTCCAGGAGGGAAGGACCTGCAGACCAACGTGGTCTCCTTGCTCTGCATTAAACAGCCTCAGATTTGGTTTGTGTGAAAAACCACGTATTGGCAGGGCAAAATAAGCAGAGGAGATAATTTAGAGACCCACCAACCCTCAGAAAGATGTCTCAGATAGCAAGGGCAGCCTGCTTCTATTAAATTCCCTTTGGAAATGAAAGGCAAGAGTCAGCCACTTGGCTCAGGGTGTGCAGTGTTTCCCTTTCCAGGAGCTCACTAGGATCTGACCTTGTGTTTGAGTTTAAGATTTCATACTAATTCCATTTAAAACACCTCAACTGCTTTATTACTTTAGAAGTCTCTCTTTTTATCTTCCCAGCAAACCCATCAGATAGTTAAGTGGTATACTAGGTATTTTGCATATTAAGAATTCTGGTTATAATATGATTTAATCTAATTTACCTTGCTTTGTTACACAGTGTGCCAGAGAGGTGACCAGAGCAGACTCTTGACTTTTACCCAAAACAGGGCACCTAATGCTTTTATTTCCCCAGGCAAATATTGCAGCATATAATACTCCATTAAAGCAGGGAGGGAGGGATATTTGATGAGGCCTCTCCTGAGACTTGGGATGAGAGGAGGATTTCAGTAATGAATTAAGTGCTGTCAGCAGTTTAAATTTATAAATAAATAAAATTGAGTGCAATTACATTGAGGATCTTCTAGAAAAGGCTCAGCCAGCTTCAGCTCCTGCCAAGGGAAGTGGCATTTCAGTGTCCAGGTGGACAGCATTGTCCTTTCCAAGGACATTCCCACTTGCACATTCCCTCTGTGGTCGTGTTCTCCACAGCCCAGCCGGTCTAAGCTGGGCTTTGCCCTTTGTGGCTCTTGGGGACGGGTGCAGGAAAGGTCACGACCATTACCCCCAGCTGTGATTGCTGTTTATTACCCCAGCACTCCTGGAATTAGCCCTGCTGATCTGGCACGGTGCTGAAAGGCAAACAGACTCCAGCAAGACTTTGGGATCAAGACCAGCCTTTCCTCACCTTCAGCACTCACTGACTGAGCTTTGTCCTTTGGCTGCCTCAGCCATGCCTGGGGAAGGGGAGAGCTCGTGGCTTTAATGGCCTGGGGACCAAACCCTGGCCACTGATGGGATGATAAAGAGCCACATTTTGATATGGGAGTGCAGCTGTGTAATGGGTTACCACAGATCTCTCTGTTTCATCTGATTTATTGTGTCTGCTTCATCTGATTTATTATCTCTGCTAATTATCCCAATAAATCAGTGTTTGAATGAAACTTGCTATTGATACTAAATGGGAAGGATTGGAATGAGTTTTGGAGAACTAACAGGAAAAAATCCAGCTGTATATGTCAGAGAATGAATAAGACTTCTCTTGGCAAAAGGCAAGCAGAATTGGTAGATACAAAAGCAACATGTAACGTGGTGAAAGGATGGATCTCCCTGTGTGTTAGCACTTCACAGCCATCACTTTGCCAAGAACTTTTTCACCACCATGGCATCCACAGGTGATACCTGTGGGCAAAGACAAAAGAAGAGACGCTGCTGTGACAGTGCTTCCTTATATTCTATGAAATTTACAGTAATGAAAAAATACATGTAAATCACAGAGAGCAAACGAAGCAGGGGCAGTGCTGAAGTTCTCATGCTGCTGGCTGGGGCAAGGGGGTTGCAGGTGCAAGTTACTGTGCTGAAATCTTGCTGATTTTCAGAAACAGAGGAAAATCCTTCTCAGACTGAATGTGTGCAAGATTTATTCCCCATGTTTCCAGACAAATACTAACCTAACAGCTGGCAGAAAAAAAAAGAAACCGTATCACCTGAGTGCATCCAGCAAGCTACTGGAACAAAAACATACCCTTCTGGTGACAGCCTGAGCTGGCCCCTGCAGAGAGCAGGAAACAAGCGAAAATGTGAAGCAGCCTCTGCTCCAACAGCCAGGTTTGCATGCGTGTCGAGCCACTGCTGTTGGCTTTGCTGGCTCACTCCA